CACCCCCACAGGCAATCCCCACCATCTTCCCATCACGACCCTGGACCCCATCACCACCACACACCGCCACAGGGCCCAGCCAGTGACCACTCCCTCACTGAATCACTGGAGAACTGACGTGACCTGACCCCACAGCTGACAGCAGAGAGGACGCGTCACCACCACCTGTCAGTAACAGAGGTGAGGTGCTCGGCAGGACCCCGAGCCCGGAGGGAGAGAGACGTGCTGACCTTTAAAGAGGAAACCATACCTGCTGCCACGAGTCCACCCGACTCAGTGACTCAAGTCTCACTTTGAGACTTGTTTGGATGGACGGGTCCCTGGAAGAAGGTGAAGGGTCAGAGGAAGAGCGGGAGACCCTGCGCGAGCTGGACTGACACAGTGCCTGGTAGAGACGTGCAGGACGGGGAAAGGCTCAGGGCTGCTGTTCATGGCACCCAACAACAACAACAAAAGCAGCCGTCACCACAGGTGCTCACGGGAACACACACTCAGGTCCTTCTCCAGAGATGCTGGTCAGTCTCAACTGTCAACTGTCAACTCAACAATACTGAGTGCTTAACTGATGCACCACTAAGGTTCTTTAACAAACAGAAGACAAAATTCTTAACTGGCATCATTCAAATAAAATTTTTAAACCCTTAGAACTACTTAAGAAAAACTAAAGATCTAATGGTATATAAGACTTGACCTTAAGGACACCAAGACAGGGCATAAAGAATTCAGAGACTCAAGACATGAAGGGACACCCAGTGCTCATGGTGACCCCTGATTCCCATCCATAGTCCTGACTCACTGCCAACCTGCAGGACCGAGAACCCCCAACTCCCACACCCCCAAACAAAAGAGGGAACCAAGACAAGAAGACACCATCACGGCCACCTTTGTCCTCCCACATTCCTCTGTCCCCCGCACCAGGACGGGGAAACGTCCCCACTCCATCCCTCCTCATCCTCCCACATCCCTCTGTTCCCCGTACCAGGATAGGGAGACGCCCCCCCTGCATCCCTCTGCCCCCTCCCCCTCCCTCTGCATCCCTCTG